AACACCGTGAAATCTATTTCGTTTTCGTCCCGCAGCAAAAAGCAAAACAACTTGTCATAAGAAGTATTTTCGGTGTATAAAATAACATTCATAACATCACGCCTTTTATCCCAGAAGGAGTAGGCAGAGGTGCACATTATGCCACTGTATAATGTAACAAACACCCATTTTTCACTATTTATGTTATGAGTCCCATGTAATAGGGGGTGAGCCTATTGCCATACATCGGGCACAATTTCAGACTCCGTGCTACTACTGAGAATTTTAAAAAACCCCAGTAATACTTTGCTTGACCCGGGAATCGAACCCGAGACCCCTTGCCCGGCAGTCGCGCTTGCGACCACTCGGCCAACGAGGCAGTCTAAATGTATAAAGTAAAAACTAATAAAAAACAAATGTTGGAGTCGTGATCGTTCTGCAATGACCTTAAGACATCCTAGTGCGATGAAGCTGAACCTTATATCAGCTTCATCGGGAAGTCCTGCTGTCCTATAATCTAATTCTATGACACGCGCTGAGAGGAGAGGTAGACCAATGCATTTTATGCCATCACGTTTATTATCTTGCATCATTATATAAAGCTGAAGTTTCGTTTATTTGTTTAAACGCGCTAATCTCAAATAATACGGGTTCGATTTGAATAATTCTTTGTGTGTTGGATAGTCCATTTATCTAGGAAGGCTATAGGCTATAAAACATCACGCTATATTCAAAATTCATTATACCGAGCAGAGCGGATGGAACCGCGCAAAGTAGCTAATAAGTGAATAGAATACTCGAAAATACCAGTAACATGACGAGATTTTCTTGAGAATTTGTGGTTAGAAGCCGGCAAGAAATATCTCTAACCTACCTCATACCTAAGTGAAGTATACTTAATATAATTTAATATACTTTATCAACTTAACAAAGTGGGAGGTCGTATAATATTGTATAATTACTTTAAGTAATTAGCAGGTGCTTACTACAAAATACCATTTTATTACTCATAAAAAATGTCGTAAAGCACGGGTTTTGAATTAATGCTTGAAAATTACTGACTCGTTGAATGAATACTCGGAACCTGACTGCGGAGCAAGGATTCTCAGGTTAATTATTATATTTTCGGCTTACTCACGTAACTGTTAACGCCGTGTCGCTGGTCGCGGAATCCTGCTCATGAATATGAGCCTCTAGCATGGCTTGAAACTAGTCGAGTTCCTTGTCGAACACTTACATGAGTACGCCGAAAACATAAAAAATAATTAGGTATGTCTCACGAAAGTTTTAATATACTTAAACAAGGATTCTCAGATTCCATTTTCGGGTTAAAATATTCATTTTGGTTTCACGAACGATTGAACGAAATATTTTAAACTGTCAAACACCAAGCGGTCACCGGTGACCGCAACCTATTGTTCTATAATTGTGTCTACAAAACCGGTACTCGACGAGTTAAAAAAGAGTAACGAATGGAGTTTCTTGCTCGTTCTTCTCCATTTGAATCTACATTTTGGAATGAGCATCTAGCTTCACCTAGCTTCACTGACGGACTGACTGACAGATTATTATTTATTTTGTATTTGTTGACGTTTCAAAAGTACCAAACTATGACTTTGAAGTCTAGCTTTGTCCTCTTTTATGGTTATAGACTCGTTCTCTGTTGTATGGGAATGGTAAATATTTATAAAATTAAATGTACCTTCTTTATTCTTTCTTTCTATTTATAACATAACTGGTGAAAAATGGTAGTTACATTTACCTATAGTACCTATACCTATTTGGGTAATGGTCATAATAAACATGAATATATATAAAACAAAGTCGTGTTAGTTACAGTATTTATAACTCAAGAACAGCTACATCGATCTGGATAAAAATTGGTGGGGAGGTAGCTTAAAATTAGGAGACGGACATAGGATACTTTTTTATACGGAAATCACGAATGGGAACAAAGAAAAACGGGATTGCGCGTACGAAGTCGCGGGCAGAAGCTAGCTGAAAATAAATTAAATAATGTACCGTAATCAAGAATATACAGGTATGTATGTCTATTGAAGTGTATCGCTAACAAATCTCTCATAAATATTTAAAAGTACTTCAGCGCACATCATTCCTGTACAAATAGAACGAATTGATTCCTGATTAACGATAATGTGAACAGTAATTAATTGAAATGTCATCGCTGCATTGAATTATTGATTCAAATTGTATTGGGAATATTTATTGAAATTGTCCTACTTGTGTGGTTTCTAGTTATGCATAGGATTCATTTAACACCAACCTTACCCTTTTCTTATTTTTAAGGGCCGTAAATCATCGTATTAATTCTCCCGCCTATGTGTGGTGGAATGGAGTGTCACACTCTTTTTTACTAAAATTCATTCCGTTTCTACTCCTACACTTCGAGCTGGAGCCTCGGCAACCCGTTAAGTTTTCCGCGGCTCCGTACTGGTATCAGTCCTATTGGGCCCTATCCGTGGTTTGATGGCTCTTTGAAGCTCCGTCCGCAGTCCCGTGCCGTGGCCGGAGGTCGTGTCGCGATCCCCGATGCCCAGAGCGTCCTTCGGGACGGCTGAGTTGTGAGGAGGCAACACTTCGTTGCCTTACGCGCTCCGCCGCCTCCTAAGCTAGCATTTTCGTAGGTCTCTTAAGAGCTGACTTAAACTATACATATTTGACTGAGACTGCACAGCAGTGGCATTTTATAATTCTGAAACTTTTCTTTATGGGATATGGCGGTAGACGGATCACCTGATGGTAAGCAATCAGCGTCGCCCATGGACACCCGGAACATCAGAAGGGTTACAAGTACGTTAGTACTTGTAACGCCTTAGTGTTTTAAAAAGGAATTATCTTTTTTCTTGAAGGTTTGAAGGTCTTATCGGTTCGGTTGAAACTGCATAGCTAAGTCATAAGGTGGGTTGGCTGTATGGACCTACGATTATACGTAAGGTGTTAAAGCAGCACTTGAACTGTATAGTTTTATCTAAATCGAATTAAGAATAGATAAACAGTACAGTTGAAACTGCAACTGCAACCTACGATTTAATTGTACACTGTGACTGTACAATTGTGGCGTACTGAACGGTGTGTAGCGTGCATAAGACGTTACAAATGAACCACCTTTTTTTAGTCGGTGGTATGATTCGATACACGATATTATTTACCTCTATATAATTACTAGCTTCTGCCCGCGACTTCGTACGCACAATCCCGTTTCTCCCATTCCCGTAGGATTTTTAGAGCTTTTTTCTGTCATAAAAACATTCTCCTGACGATAACAAACACAATAAAAAAAAATCGGCCAAATCGGTCTAGCCGTTCTCATGTTATGGCGTATAAGATAAGATTATTATCTCTATATAACAATGGAAATGGGTTGTTATGTTATGTTAGGTATTATCTCCTTCTATACAAAGTTATCTTAAAATAATTACATTACTGTTTAGTTGCATACTAGAGTATAATGTCAAATTACAAACGCGTGGCCTAAAACAACAATACGGTTGGTATTCAATCAATTAGAAGATAATACGTAGTGTACAGTTTATAGGATAATGTCCATCTATCTAATTACAGATAGTAAGGGAAAATAAACCCTTTGTAATGTACTTAAATAATGTATTAGATTGGTAATTGGAGTGTGTATTTGTGTGTGGCTTTTGATGTAGGGTTTAGAATAGAATGTTTGTTGTTGTTTTTTTTGAAAAAGGAATTATGTTGTTAGTGTTCTATTTTTCACGTTTTTATTTATAGCACGATTGTAAAGTTTTTTTTAATCTTTATTTAATAAGAAGGGCTTTTTTGTAGAGGAATATGTCAGCCCTATTATAGGATACAAAATTCAATACAAAAAATAAAGCAACTAAACCGTTTATAGGTTTAACTAGCCCTTAAGCTCAAACACAAAATAACTAAACTATACAATTTTCTAGCCTCAGATGACAATGGTGACGCTAAAACACTGTGATGAAAACCAATATTAAAGCTATTAACACTAAAACCTGATTCCTCTGAGACTCAATACGTCGACGTATGTAAGAAGTTATGAGTAATGACTGCACGGTAGTAACTCGTCTTGTCAAACTGTTGTTTCGGGTCTGGGTGTCATGTGTATGTGACCTTGTATGTTTGTAAGCGCACCCACGACATAGGAGATAATCCTAGTGTGGGGCAACGATTTATTAAATACTAGCGACCCGCCCCGGCTTTGCACGGGTGCAATATGTATATACATACAAACCTTCCTTAAGAATCACTCTATCTATTAAAAAAAAACCGCATCAAAATCCGTTGCGTAGTTTTAAAGATCTAAGCATACATACGGACATACAGCGAAAGCGACTTTGTTTTATACTATGTATTGATATTGGGGGAGAATAAATAAAGTAAAGCCACATTTAAATAAAAAACGGTACTAGACGAATTGAGGGCCTCCTCCGTTTTAGAAAAGTCGGCTTAAAATGATGATACTACGTCTAAGTAGGAAAAGAATGTTTTAAAGGGATTTTCGACAAGTGGAGATATTTTCTATTTTTGTTGATATGAAGATAGACCAACGATATCGCCAGAGTCGTGGGGAGCCAGTGGATGCAGTTGGTGGGTTGTCGTTCAAAGTGGAGGACTAAGAGGGAGGCCTTTGTCCAGCAGTGGACGTCTTCAGGCTGGTGATGATGATGATATTGAAGGTAGTAGGTTACTTAAGACTTTGACTGTCAATAAAAAACTGTTGAAGGTAAATATTCCGCTAACGCCGGTCACCGGTGACCCCCATGGCGTTTAACATGTTAATTAAGATTGCTGTGTGAAGGTAGCGGTGTCTCATTTAAAAGAAGCTTGAATAGGTAAAGAGTTTGAGTCTCAACTCAATTCAGTCTAGACAGTAGCGTAGGAGTAGCAGATATATCAATGTCCAATTCCAAGAATTGTATAATTTGTGACTTGATTTGCGGGATACTCTTTCCAATTTTGAACGAAAATCCACTATTTATTGCTATTAATATAACAGTGTTACTTACAAATTAGTCGTGATCTGGTTTCTCCTACACGTTGTGATCACAAATCAATCTGTAACAATAAATAAATATTTGTTTATATTATTAGATACACATGTATGACCGCATACAGGTGTTTAAAGGACGAGATCAGATGTGAGTAAATAGAAGTGTTATGAAAATAGCTGTTGTTATACAAATACAAACAGTATATGATTGAGACCGGGTAGCGGCGTTTGTTGATAAACTCAATCGTAATGATGATAAAATATAGGTGTATATTCGCGGTAGTGAAATGTGTGTCTACAGACACAATATTTGTTAAAACTTTTCAGTATGGGATCGGATTGTAAATAAAAGAAGACAAAGTACAACTTTAGGTTATATTATAGTTAAAACGTTTACTAATTACACATGCGACCTGCGCGCAACCCGATAGGCCCATAACTGTCTTATTTCGCACAAAAAAACCTACGTCATGGTGCAAGCTCGCCGCTCGACCAGAGGCCTTAGTACGAGTTTTTAAAGTAATCGTTTTTTTAAAGTAAACGAAACGAGTACCCGTTCGGCGCTCTGATTGACCAGCTCCAATGAACCAACCAATCAGAGCGCCGAACGCGTACTCGTTTCGTTTATTTTAAACGTAAAACAAACTCGTACTAAGGCCTCAGTTACGGGCCTATCGGGTTGCGAGCAGGTCGCATATGTAACTAGTAAACGTTCGCCTCTACAAAACCACATGGCTGTGTAATTTCAGTGAAGTTCAAACTTACACAAAAAAAAAAATATCAGCAGGCCATGAAAATTTTCTACTGAACTATGGACCTCCTCCTCATAAGAGGGTCTTATCTTCAACGTGTCGAGCAAGTGTGGAAATTAAGGCAATGTCCACTTATGAAAAGAAGGCCGATAATAGTCCAGCAATGGCTTATCATAGTCGGTTGATATATAAAGAGGTGTGAAGACCATACTGTGCTTTTAGAAATCATTAATTGCCACACTTTTCAACCAAATTATAAGTGTGGGAGAGCCATGCTTCGGCACGAATGTGCCGGCTCGACCGGAGTGATACCACGGCCTTACACAAATCCGACGTAAAACAACGCCTGTGTTGTGTTTCGTCGTGTGAGTTAGGTTACCGGAGTCCAAATTATCCCCATCCCCAGTATCCCCAATTCCCGAATTCCCCTGCCTCATTATTCCTTGTTCTCAAAAGGCCGGTAACACACTTATAACGCCTCTGGTGTTTCATTCAAGTGTCTATGGGCGGCGCCGTTTGCTTACCATCAGGTGATCCGTACGTTCGTTTACCGGCTTATCCCATAAAAAAGCTAACGTAGGTACTTAAATGTTTATCTAATAGTAATAAATCATATATCTGTCCATATTCTTAAACTCCAATCACGTGAAATTGAGTTTTATCCAGTTTTCGATTAGAAAGTTTTAGTTTTAGGATAGTTTCGATTCGATATCGGTATCATGTGATGGTTAAGGTCGCTCCAAAGAATAGACCATCCCTTTGGGTCCCTAGGGTGTCGTAGCAGACAAATAAGGTCGATAACACATTAAGTTTCGTTCTCAATCAGCGCAGATATCGGTTTCGTTATAGGGTTTATACAGAATTTATGTTACCTACATTTAATGAACTTTAGTGGTTACGCAAGAGGTCATAAATGTGTTTTTGAGCGAAGAGCAAGACTCCAATTCTTTAAATGAGTAAAACGTTTATGGGTATTACAATGGAATACCGAATAGTTCAATGTTTAGTTGGATATGAATCATAACTTGCATGATACTGACAAAAATGTTGTTTCTTTTCATTGTATTCACAAGAAACAATAGGTAAACATGTCAACTGTACTGACTGATCTGAGGTTTTGTCACTAATATTACCTATCATACTTTTCAATTCCCAAAATCCTACCCGGATCTACCTCTACTTAAGTTACTTAAAAATAAAGCATTAACATCTAATGCTATAAGGATTATCATTATGTACCTACATATGTAGGCACACATAATTATGACGCACATTATGGCAAATTTTAATGACATAATCCTTTATTTATATAAAACTTAATGGCTATCCTTGTGGGTGGCTAGTTCCGTGAGTGTGTTGACCTGATGCGCCAACATTTGAATAAACGGTGTTCTTTTTTGCGCGCGAAATCAAAGCGGTAGCCATCTTTGATTCGTTGTTTTTTTTTAAATGACCACAGTCGTCAATCATTCAACCTTATTTCCGTTAGATTAGTAGTAATTGAAAAATAATTACGTACATTACAAGTAGGTATGTGTGTTTTAATTAAAAATTTATCGCACGCCTCAAGGTTTGGTTATAAGTTGGTATGTGGTTGGGCTCGTATTAGATTTTTTGTGGCCTTGAATGAAAAGCGTTGCCCATTAGTGGTAGGTACTTAACTAGTTACAGATACGTAAAATTAGACAGCAGCGGTAAAGTGATTACTTGTTTACGTTACAATTTAAATGTTGTTTTTTGATGTGGCTTACACTACAAACTTAGGTTATTTAAACAATTTTTATTTAAATAAACTGGTTTCCTTTTCCGTGCCACCTTATACCTCTATGTGCGATTGGCAATTTATTACATTAACATAACATAACATTACGCCTTTTATCCCCGAAGGGGTACGCAGAGCATTACGACACTTAATGCCACTGTACAATGTAATACCCACTTTTCACTATTTATGTTATGGGTCCCATGTATATGTAGGGGATGAGCCTATTGCCATACACCGGGCAGAATTCCAGACTCCGTGCTACTACTAAGATTTTTTTAAAAACCCAGTAATACTTTGCCCGACTCGGGAGCCGAACCCTGGACCCTTTGCCCGGCAGTCGCACATGCGACCACTCGGCCAACGAGGCAGTTTATTATACAGCTAATTTAATCGTAACCTTTCGGTAATCTTCAAACTGCGAGTAGGTACATATATGCTGTTCCGAACGGCTGCTACAGCAGTAATCTCTTGAACGTGTTCCTGCAAAAACAAGGCGAACTGAGAATCCAGTTTCAGGCACAACTGGACGTAACTATTACGAAACAGAGAACATTTCCCAAAAACTTTACCGTCCTTTAAACACATTTTCTAAAGTTTTCACTGTGTCTTTGACGTAAAAATCCTAGTTTTCCGCCATATTGGTTGCGACTGCGAGTTTAAACCGTTGAAAGTGGAACGCAAACTTTGATGTTACTTTTTTAAATTTGTTTTTTAAACATGGCCGTCGGTCGCGCAATTATGTTTACAGAGCTACAGTGATACCACATTCGGGTTTTTCACCAACTCGACACGAGGAACTGATCACACGTGTGTCCAGTTGGTGAAACTTTAAATTAGCACTAATTATTCTTTCGTCATTTGGACACGCCAAGGTTTTTATGTATGTCCACATAGTGAAAATCAAATTAAGTTACTTTTGTGTTTTCGTCAACTGGACACACGTTCACATTTTACCCGAATGTATAACAAAGTACAGTCACGCAGATAATATTTTTGAATCACAATCTCAGTTGACGAAAACACAAAAGTAACTTAATTTGATTTTCACTATGTGGACATACATAAAAACCTTGGCGTGTCCAAATGACGAAAGAATAATTAGTGCTAATTTAAAGTTTCACCAACTGGACACACGTGTGATCAGTTCCTCGTGTCGAGTTGGTGAAAAACCCCCACATTCAATTATGGATTGTTTGTTAGATTACAATCTAAATAATGTTTTGTTAGTTAAGTAGTTGTGTGTGTGACTACCTACTACCTAGTAGGGGTCTCTAGTTGGATTTTACGGTTGTTCTGTAGCTTCGTTGTGTGACTAACTTGCGAAGGGTTTTGGAATTCAAAATAATGATTGGATTTTTAGATTAGATAAATCTAGAATTTAGACTACCTATAGAGTCGCGGAGAACCTAACGGGCTCCGGCTCGACGTGCAGGAGAAGGAACGGGGTGGTTTTTAGTCATATATAGAGTCTTGATTATAGAATTGCCCTTGTAATTGACTTAAGAACGGTGTGGCTTGGCGACTGGGCTACTCCAATAAAAAAAGTTTGTGGAACCAGTATTCCAAACTTGTCCTCTTATTACATAAAAGTTGTAATATAAAAATAAAGCAGTAGGTATTATACTTAATGTTATGTTATATCCTACGGAATACTTATATGTATTTTTTTAAAAACGTTGCCCCACATTTTGTTTTTCTCCTATGTCGTGGGTGCGTTTTCAAATATACAACTTCACATACACATGACATCCAGACCCGGAACAACAATCTGTGGATCAACACAGACTTGTTCCGTGCGGAAATCGACCCGCGACGTGCGTGCAGTCATTATGTATTGCTATGTTATCGTACGTAACATCTACGTTAATAATACGAAGATATTGAATATTAAGTCTGTCTAATAGCAGACCGTAATACTGATGGATTGTCGATGAATTCTGTATGCGTGTACTGCACTCAGGGTAATTGTGTCAGAGGGTCAACTTTAATGAAGGTCCATTCCAACTGTAGCTATAAGGCACATAATACCATGGACGTAACATATACCTAATTATAGAAATAGAGTAGACTATGAATGAATGACTACCTCGTTGGCCGAATGCTCGCAATTACGACTGCCGGGCAAGGGGTCTCGGGTTCAATTCCCGGGTCGGGTATTACTGTCTCAGTAGTAGCACAGCTGAGTCTGGAATTGTGCCCGGTATATGGCAATAGGCTCACCCCATATTACATGGGACTCATAACATAATTAGTGAAAAGTGGGTGTTACATTGTACAGTGGCACTAAGTGCTGTAATGTACACCTCTGCCTACCCCTTCGGGGATAAAAGGCGTGATATTATGATGATGAGGATGATATGAATGAATGAATATTAATAGAGTAGCATATGAATTTTAGAATATAACGTTTTTTGTTTCAATTTTTCACGCTCGGGTCTGGTTCTGGTCGGGCGGCGAGCCACCCATGCTCGCCGTCCGCAGACCCGCGCTTACGGTGGCCGGAGATCGTCCCGCGATCCCCGACGTCGACAACTCAATAGGTACTTAG